AGGCAGGCTGAGGCTGATGCAGGCTGAGGCTGATGCAGGCTGAGGCTGAGGCTGAGACAGGCTGAGGCTGATGCTGAGGCTGATGCAAGCTGAGGATGAGAGGCTGCCACTGAGGCTGAGGCTGAGGCTGAGGCCGAGGCAGGCTGAGGCTGAGGCTGAGGCAAGCCGAGGCAGGCTGAGGCTGAGGCTGAGGCTGAGGCAGGCTGAGGCTGAGGCTGAGGCTGTGGCTGAGGCAAGCCCGGCTGAGGCTGAGGCTGATGCAGGCTGAGGCTGAGGCTGACGCAGGCTGAGGCTGAGGCTGAGGCCGAGGCAGGCTGAGACTGAGGCCGAGGCACGCCGAGGCAGGCTGAGGCTGAGGCTGAGGCTGAAGCTGAGTCAGGCTGAGGCTGAGGCTGAGGCAGGCTGAGGCTGAGGCAGGCTGAGGCTGAGGCCGAGGCAGGCGAATCCTTCGGAATCCTGAGGAATCCCTAGGAATCCTTAGGAATCCCTCGGAATCCCTAGGAATCAGGATTCCTAAGGATTCCTAAGGTTTCCTAAGGATTCCTATGGATTCCTAAGGATGCCTCAGGATGCCTTGGGAATCCCTAGGAATCCTTAGGATTCCATTGGATCCTGCGGCCGCTGCCACTGCGACTGCGACTGGATTCTCACCTGAATCTTAAGGGGAATGCTTCCAGATATGCTTATACACATCGCTGTTAGGTTGCTTTGCAAGGATAATTTCATATGGGGACGTCGATGATGAATCATCGAACTCCTCATTGTGATCCATACATCCGTTCGTCCATCTACCCATCCACATCCATCTTTTTACATGTGCACCACCATCAGAAATCGTCAATCCACTCACCCGCCCATCCACCCATCCATCTTTCCTTCCATTGCCATTTCGGCTGCAGTCCCCAGTCGGCGACACCGAGAGTGGCACCAGCCTCCTCGGATATCAGCGCGGCGCTGGGACCAGGGCGGGCAGCCGCGCCAGGCAGGCGCGGGCTGAACCGAGGGGGCAGGCGCCGGGCGTCCTGCGGCGGCCCACCGCGCGGCAGGCGACGGCGGCGCGGTGCTCGGACTGCGCGGAGGAGCTCAGCGGCGCCCGTCTCTCGCAGCGGCGGCAGCCTCGCCGACCCGGACGCGGCGGACTCCACCCTGGACCGCTACTTCGAGGCGCTCGTCCTGGGGAGCGAGGTCAAGGCCAACGCTTGCCGGGGCCTCTACGGGATGGCCTGGCAGCGCGGCTGGGCGACCAAGGGCGGCGCCTTCCCGCAGGCCAAGCAGGCCTTCAACGGCTGGGACCGCCTGGGGCCGCCTGGCAGCAGGGGCCCTGCCGTCTGGGAAGCGGTGCTGGCGGTCGCGGACGACGTCATGGGCCGCGACCTCCAGTCGACGCTGGCGGGAGCGCTGCTGCCTGTGGCCGTCGACGGCTACCTCCAGCCGTCCGAGGCCCTGGGCTTGCGAGGCGCCGATGTCTCGCGGCCGCCGCGTTCCGGCCCCCAGCGGCTGTGGGCCGCGACGGTGGCACTGGCGACGCAGCCAGTCCCGTCGAAGACCAGCGCGTTCGATGACGCCGTCTTCCTAGGTTTCGCCAGGACACCGACATGCAAATCGAGTGGACGCAGCTCGCGATGATATAGCGTCGGATGACGGCGGGAAGGCCAGAGGATCACAAGAGGGGCGGCGCACTGGATTGAGCAAGGAGGGGAGCAGCTCCGTGAGCACCCCAACACTTCGCTCCCGAGCCAGGGCCAACCAGGCGGCCGCTCCACAGAGTGGCGAGAGTTTCCCCAGCCAGGCGAAGGGTTAGGCCTGACATCGACATCGACGAGGTGGTGTAGTTCAATTCCACGACACGGCGAGGGGTTAGGCCGATCATGTAGAGCGAGATGGCGCAGCATTTTGGCAGGGCAGGTGGCGTTCAGGGTTCATCAAATCAGAGGGCTAAGGTGCAGACCGAGATGGTGAAGAGCGCCCCCCCGCCCCCCCAGCCAGGCGAGGGGCTAGGCCTGACATGAAGGATTCGATGGTGCAGGATAATGGCGGGTCTGGCTCCACGGAGGACCCGTCAGGTCAGAACGCAGTGGGTCAGGAGGCGGCCGTGGGGTGCTCCTCGAGCCCCGCGGCGATCACCTCACCACAATTCGAGCCAGGACACCAACGTGCAGATCGAGGGGATGCGGCTCGAGGCGCCAAAGGATCGGACGTTGGCGGAAAGGCGTGTGGATCACACGAGGGGTAGCGCACTGGCCTGAGCAAGGAGGGGAGCAGTTCCTGGAGCACCTCAACCCCTTGCTCCCGAGCCAGGGGCAACCAGGCGACCGCTCCAGAGAGAGTGCAGCATGTCTCCCAAGCCAGGCGAGGGGTTAGGCCTGTCGTCATCATCGACGAGGTGGCGCAGTTCCAATCCCCAGCCAGGCAAGGGGTTTGGCCTGACATCATCGACGAGGTGGTGCAGTGCATTTCCCCAGCCAGGCGAGGGGTCAGGCCTGAGGTGCGGAGCGAGCGCGCTCGCACCAACCTCGACGAAAAGGACGACATCTTCGAGCAGTACGATTCCGAGTACGAGGAGATGGTCGTCCCCGACACTGCGGCCCATTCGCAGTGGCACTGATGGTGATGACATCAGAAGGCGCAGCGGCAAGTACGAGTACGCGTACTCGAGCACGCTGCAGTGGGTCCACTCCGACCTGAAGGTCTACGAGTGCGACCTCTCGCTGGACATCGTGTTCAGCGCCTCCGCTCCCCCTCGTCCTCTGAGAGGGGGCGCGCCTGCTGGCCTCAGCAGGCGTGCGGGAGCGTGGCCGCGGCGGGCGTCGCGGCGCGCTCGGCCCTCGGGGCAAACCCGCGCCTCCTCCTCCTCCTCCTCCTCCTCCTCCTCCTCCTCCTCCTCCTCCTCCTCCTCCTCCTCCTCCTCCTCCTCCTCCAGGTTCCAACATTCCCCCCGGGGCGTCCTCCTCATATCTTTCCCCATGCCGGTGCGCCTCCTCCTCCTCCTCCTCCTCCTGCTCCTCCTCCAGATTCCAACATTCTCCCCGGGGTGTCTTCCTCATCTCGTTCCCCATGCCGGTGCGCCACCTCCTCCTCCTCCTCCTCCTCCTTCCTCCTCCTCCTCCTCCTCCTCCTCCTCCTCCTCCCTCCTCCTCCCTCCTCCTCCTCCTCCTCCTCCCCTCCTCCTCCTCCTCCTTTTCCTCTCGTCCCTCCTCCTCCTCCTGCTCCTCCCTCCTCCTCCTCCTCCTCCTCCTCCTACTCCTCCTCCCTCCTCCACCTCCTCCTCCTCTCCCTCCACCTCCTCCTCCTCTCCCTCCTCCACCTCCTCCTCATCTTCCTCCTCTTCCACTCCTCTTCTTCTCTAGGGGGCAAACGAACCTACCTCGCTTTTGACAACCCTCGCTTCCAAACGATACCAAACGATACCAGGCTACGGCCCGCACCAGTCAGGTCGCTTGACCAGGAGGCGCGTGGTATGACTTGATTTTGCCTGGAAGCGAAAGCGGGCTAGGTAATCCACGCTCAAATTCTCCTCGTCCTCCAAATTCCACCATTTTGGACGCCCGAAACGGGTACGGAAAAGATGGGTACAATGCCCAAAAACAAATGTTGTCCCAAACCAAAAGCGGCCGCTGTTGGGCAGGCGGCCTTCTGTCTCGAATGGACACAGGCCGCGGCGGCGCGGACAGCGAGTCCTGTTCAAAATGAACAGGAACTGCTGCTGGGCATTGTACCCATTCTTTCCGTACCCATTTCGGGCGTCCAGAACCATTCTCCCCGGGGCGTCTTCCTCATCTCTTTCCCCATGCCGGTGCGCCCCCTCCTCCTCTTCCTCTCCCTCCCCCTCCTCCTCCTCCTCCTCCTCCTCCTCCTCCTCCTCCTCCTCCTCCTCCTCCCCTCCCCTCCTCCTCCTCCACCTCCTCCTCCTCCTCCTTTTCCTGCTCCTCCTCCTCCTCCTCTCCTCCTCCTCCTCCTCCTCCTCCTCCTCCTCCTCCTCCTTCTCGTCCACCTCATCATCCTCCTCATCCTCTTCCTCCTCCTCTTTTCTCCACTCCTCCTACTCCTCCTACCCTCCTCCTCCTCCTCCTCCTCTTCCTCCTTCTCCTCCTGCTCCTGCTCCTCCTCCTCGTCCTAGCGAACAAGATCGGCGGCACCGGCCGTAAGGCCTTCGCAACTACAAACTGATGCGGCCGAGGCGTGTGCTGCGTAGAGTGGAGAGGTCGACCCCTCGCTGATCTAAAATTCCGAATGCCCACGGATTCTCAATCGACGATGTGTGGCAGGCGGAACCGAAACGGAGGCGGAGGAAGGGGGACGAAAGGATACGATAGCGCAGTCACGCGCCGAGAAGTACCTCGGGCTGCCCTGCCATGGTCTCCAATATATATATATATATATACATAGATTGCGGACCACCCGCCCGAGGACTCGATGTGATGAGCGGGGCAGAGGCGTCAGACTGTCGTCCCCCTTTACAACCTCATCCTGATAGCGTCGGTAGATCGAATCCGTACGGCAAAACCATCCGTCACCTCTCAGGGCCCTGCGCCGTGCCCGCGAGCCTCTACAAGAACCAGGTTCCCTTCGACTGCGGAAGCCCGCTTGTAGCTGTTCCTTATTCATCAGGCTCCAGTCTGCTTTAACGCAGCCAAGATGTAGTAAACGATCGATCCCCCGATGGGGCCATCATCTCCAGCTGGCAGCTTGTCGATGCTGCGGGATGCTGGCCCAGCCCCACCGACGAGGCCCCTGCGGGCACGCGGCCACTCCGCGGCGGCCGCCCCCACCCACCCCGCCAAGCACAGGCTCCGCGAGAACTCCCCCTCCCACTGCTCCTGTCGGGGCGGATCAAATCGGGGGGGATAGCAGCGAGGGGGTTGGCACCCGGCGTCGGCCGCGGCGGGGCCGAAACTGGCTGCATGCAGCAGATTTCGTAAACCGCCCCTTTCCCAGTCCCCCCCGTCCTTCCGATCCGATCCTCCCTACCCCGCACGGGCTCCGAGAACTGAGGCGCCAACAGGTAAAGATAACCAACCTGCGCCCAAGCGGTCGGGGTGGGCAACTGGCATCCCTGACTTGCCCCGCGTGCAGGCGCCTGCCGGCACGCGACTCGGAAACTCGTTCGAAACAAACCAATGGGCACCGTCCCGGTCAGAGCTCTTCGAGACGGGGCCGATGCCATGGCGAAGTCGAGGGGCCTCCCCAGTGGCCGGCGGGAGTGAGGGAACAAGCGCACAAACAATCAATACCGCTTGTAAGTCAAAACCGCTCAGACGACACTTTAGGATCGCAAATGGCCGAACACCGCAGCACGGCTGAGACAGGTCCCAAGAGATCATAAATCTGGCGAGGAGGGACGGGCCGCGCAACCTCGAGCGAAATCGCTAAACTCTGACGGCCGAACCTACGAATCTTGAATTCACACAACCCAACCCGCGAGCCATGGGTGGGCCATGCCGCGAACCCCTGCAACGCCCAAATGAGGTCCTTCTGAACAATTACCTACATGAACGGCCGCCCCGCCTAAGCACGAATCATGGGGGGAAGTGGCGAAGTAAAGGAGTGGCGGAATCAGCGAAGTCAACAGTTGGAGCGCCAGGATGCCGAAGCCACGAAACAAACATATAGTATTGGACAGGTCCTGGGAGTTGGCTGGAATTGGGGGAATCACATGCAGATGTGCTTCGCTGCGTTGGATCTGGAATCAGTCGCAGAAGAGGCGGCTTTCAGGGGCTACTGGAAAGTGTTGAGATCGCTTTCCCAACCTGCTTCTCATTATTGCATCCTCCATCCCCCCTCCCCACTCTTTCTACTTCTTCGAACACGCAAGCATATTCTGAAAGGGTCAGGAACTGCCCTCATCCACCCTCACTGTTCCTTTCGATATCGATCTTCTCATACAACTATTTAGGGTTTAGTGTGGATGCGTCCATCATCCCTCTGCTCTCCTGCGTGCTTCCTCCCTCTTGTCCTCAAGGGCTGGGATGTCCCTCCCCCTCCCCCTTATTATCCCTCCTCCCCATCACTGTGTAAGATGGAGGAGGGAAAGAGGAATAAGAGGAAATGGCAAGGGATGAAGGACAACTGGGCACGAGAAGACACGCGGAGGAGGGAAGCATGAGCACGAAGGAGGAAGGAGCGATGAGGAAAGAGGCAGGAAGGGTGGAACAAGGATGCGACAAGAAGGAGGAGGGAAAAAGGGGAAGGGCGAGGCACAACAAATACGGAGGAAACATGGACGAGAAGGACCAACCAACGAGAAAGGATGACGTAGACGAGGAAGGAACATGGAGACGTGTCAGACGGGAGAAAACATGATGGACCCACGAACCCGGAAAGGGATATAGACATGTGGAGCACGGTCACGTTTTCACGATACCCAACTGGGCGACACCTCAAGAAACATCCCACGAGACACCCCGCGAAACATCCCACGAGACACCTCACGAAACATTC